ATAAGCCCTGCTAAAATCCACATAAACACTTTAATTATAAATTTTAGCTCAAAATCCTAACCCAACCCTAAAAAAACGCAACAGTACCATTCCTGATGGATCGTCGGTACTATTCCTGATAGGGTAGGAAAAAAATTGATTTACATACCGTTCCTGATAGGGTTCTAAAAGAGCCTCTAAAACACTATGCTAAGGGTTCAATTTTAGAATCATATCAGAAACAGTACTCAAATAAAATTTTTTTTTAACTCCATCAGGATCGGTACTGCCGATCCATCAGGAATAATAGGACCAAATTTCAGCATCAAATTTCAGCATCAGCCGCAGCAATTATTTAGATAATGATTTTAACGATAAACTGATAGGCAACGAAAAAAAAAAATAATATTAAAGCAGTTTTAATGAGCTTTAAGTTTTTTATTTTAGTTTTGTGAATATAACGACGATATGAGAATTTATTGAACTTTATTTTTTTATAAACGTAAAATAATATTGGGAAAAGTTTTTTATCGAATTAAAAATCGACCCATGTTATTTTTAATCAGTAAAATTGAAGAATGACAAGTGTTAGAGAGTCTAGAAATAGCCGTGTCGAAAAACATAAATATGATTGTCATATGATTGGGCTAACCAAAGGTGCCGGAAATAAATTCAATTAAAGGACTTGAAGTCTGCAGAATACATAGTGAGTAATTTTAGCTAAGTAATTCGAACTGAAACGATGATATGCTCCCAGAAAATTAGAGAATCTGTGCCAGATATCATCGTGACAATAAAATGAGCAGCATCAGCCAATAGTTTCCCGCCTGCTCGAAACAGGCCGACTGTTAAATAGGAAAATAACAGAATCAGAAGACTGATGGGAAGTGAAATTTGTTTGTCTAAGGCTATTGTATTGAAAGGGGAAGGAGAAAGAGATTTTTATCAGTTCTTATATATATATATAATGATTGGTGGTTTTTCTATTTAAAAGTATTAATAAATAACAATTGAAAAGTAACTTGTAAATTTAATAAGAATGAAAGGAAATCAGGAGCAAATGGTTTAGACATTAAAAGCCTGAATAAAAAACCGACGTGTATTACGAACATTACCGCTATTATAAAAGGCACTTACAATTTAATCAATTCCAAGAAAGATGAATCATAGGAAAAAAAAAAATATGAATACAATATATTTGCCAACGAATTGACTAACAACAAAGCAGGATGCGTGATTAATTAAAAGTTATTGCACTACCGATAAACTTTATAATAATATTGCATAACGATCCAAAATCGTCTGGAAATGAAAACTCTCCAAAGATCACTTCTAAATGATCTATTCCTATTATATCGAATGTTCAAACCAATTCTTATCTTTGGACTGTTCCACCGTTAGAAAATTCACATGGCGATGATTCACATCGTAATGGAATAGGTAACATAAATTTGGGTGAGAATATTAAGAACATATCACTATTTTATATTCGAGTCAAATCAAGTGCTATAGTAAATAATGCAATAGAAACTGTCTTTGGTGTTGCTGGGCCTTTGACTATTTGGAAACTCCGGATTTAATTCAAGAAACGGGGAATATTGAACATAATGCATCACTGATGGGTCACTAATTGGTACGTAAATATGTACTGTATATTACCATAAAACCCGATTTTAATAATATATGTGTAATAGTTATATCATGGGTAGTTAGATATAACTGATTATCCCCTGCCATTCACGTAACATAACTATCATGTCCTTATTTCAGAGCGAAACCTTTATTTTATGATTGTTTTTGAATTAAAGATTAAGTGGAATAATAAAATACTTATATTCAATCACCTAAATTAAATAGATATATGTCTAGTAGAAATAAGTACATGAAAAAGTTACGTAGATGGATTGGCAGGGAATAATTAGAAATATGAAAAAAATCAGAAGGATTCAAATAAGTGTTCATTATTAGTTGTTGGATGTGAAACAGCCAATAATGTAAATTACACTCTTCATTCTTGACTTAAACTGAAATTCTCACCTTTATATTGCTAAGGAGTTTTAACATAGCTACTAACGTGTTTTATAAGCACTATGTATAAACGAAATACATAGGGTTTAATTTAATAGAGTTTCTTAATATATTAAATCTCATTGTTCGTCCGTCAACATTAACCGATTAGAATTATGAAGGTGTGTCGCATGTCGAAGTAGCAGCAATTACGTATTTAGCTTCTTCCTTTAATGCATGTTGAGAAAGGTCAACAGATCGAGAAGAAAGGATAGAACTGGGAATTAATAAGCAGAGATACGTCTGCTTCTTATTGTTTTGGTATTTTAAATTCGTTACAAGATATTTCACTTGAACTTTTATCCACTATTTTCATGATATCATTGTCATTTCCAGCTAAAGTCTCCAGGTGAATATTCTCTTTTCGTGGTCCTACTGCCATCTCTTAGCTAAATAATATTTGTAAGTAGTACCGTTAATGTAACATTTTAGAACTTCTTGCCCTTTTAAAGCTAGATTTCTTAATACTTTTCTAGTTGTTCTTGTGCTCGAACGCGGTTAACAAATGTATCCCGTTCTGAAGAAAGTCCGTTTTAGCTTTACTAGCGCTAGATAAATTAACTTTCAAATTTCAGATTCTTTTGATTCTTACGATTTCCTGAAAACTAATTTACACTGGCAAATTTCTTCTAGCCTATCCAATACTTTAAATATGATTGCCGATGAAATGATTTCTTTTGAAAAATCGAGTCACAATGTTCTCTTCACGCTTTCCTTAGCACTAGTGATTAATTTTTCTCTTTGAAATAACGGTGAATTGTTCTACGAATTAGAACAGTCACTTCTTTCATATTTACTCTTTCATCATTGTTAAGGCTTGATATCTTTACGTTATCATTATTATAATTTTAATGTATTAAGTAAAGTTGGAACCGGTTTTATTTTTCATATGTTAAAGCCGATTAAAACCGGTTTAACGTATGAAAAATAAAACCGGTTCCAATCTCAAGTCTTAAGATTTTATTTTTATCTTGCATTTTGTCATACATGAATCTTCTACGTACTGTACGTACGTATGTGGATTTCAAAATCTCAAACGTTTTTTGTGTTACATTTGCCAGAGTACCTGGGACGCACTTATTTGCGCGAGTAATACAAACCCTTAAAAAGGAAATAGCCAATCAGAGAGTACAAATTTTGACTATTCCGGATCAGCCCGACATGAATTCCGAACACGTGCGAAAAAGAAAAAAGCGAAAATACTCAAAAACTAGTGTCAAAATTGACCTTGATGCATTAATTAAAAATTTCGGGCACGAAATTTTACATATAACGAGCAACAATCTATTACTATAGTCTCTAATGTTAACGTCCTAACCCTAAATTTATATCTTTACGCACTTGGTTTATTTACAAAATTCGATTTCCTTTTTTGGTTTGTATTACTCGCGCAAATAAGTAAAACCAAAGTACCTGGCGCTGCAAATATTGTAACCAGTGTATGAAATTCAATTTTGATTTTATGTTCTCGCTGAGAACATTTTTCTAGTCCTCAATGTTCTCAAAAATTTTTTAATGTTCTCAATATAGAAAAATTGAATTTGTATAATATCAAAAAAAAATCTATTTAATGTTCTCACATAGAGAACATATTTTAATAAATTATGCTCTTAAAATTTTATTAATGTTCTCAGAGAACATTGAGAACATTGAATTTAATACACTAATTGTAACAGTAATACGTAATACGTAAGTACGTACGTACGTACCTTTTGTGTAATCGTTTACGAGGCAAAGGGTATATAGTAAAGTATTACGGTACGGAAACGCAAATTAGGACTCGTGCAGAAATCAAGATAGTACGTATGGTTTGTAAAAGAAAAACTTCGTTAAGTCCATGTTACTTTTACTAATTACCCTACATGAAAAAAGGACAATACTAGCGCTCATAATGTAACATTTTAGAAATTCTCGCCCTTCTAAAGCTAGATTTCTTAATACTTTTCAAGCTGTTCTTGTGCTCGAACGCGGTTAACAAAATGTATCGGAAGAAAGTCCGTTTTAGCTTTACTAGCACTAGATAAATTGTCTTTCAAATTTCAGATTCTTTTGATTTTTACAATTTCCTGAAAACTATTTTACACTGGAAATTTCTTATAGCCTATCCAATACTTTAAATATGATTGCCGATGAAATGATTTCTTTTGAAAAATCGAGTCACAATGTTCTCTTCACGCTTTCCTTAGCACTAGTGGTTAATTTTTCTCTTTGAAATAACGGTGAATTGTTGCTACGAATTAGAAAAGTCACTTTTTTCATATTTACTCCATCATTGTTAAAGCTTAATATCTTTACGTTATTATTATCGTTATTTGGGTTAAGTAGAGATTGGAGCCGATTCATATTTATATGTTAAAGCTGATTTTAACGTATTAAAATAAAACCAGTTCCAAACTCCAAGTCTTAAGATTTTTATCTTTCAGTAATAACAATTTTGTCAGATCTGTCATACATGAATCTTCGATGGAAATTTCCATCGTGGAATCTATATTCCTAAATAAATAAAAAAAATCAAATTTTTCTTCAACTTTGAGCGAAGATATCTCGACAACCACCAAGCCAAATTTGATGATTTTTTTTTTTTATTTAATTCTACAGTTTGTAGAATTAAAATAAAAAAAAAATTCATCGAATTTGACTTGGTGGTTGTCGAGATATCTTCGCTCAAAGTTGAAGAAAAATTTGATCTACAGGGGGTACGAATAACAATGGACAGCCGCAATTCGTTTTTAATATTATAAATTCGCGTGCCTGCGTACCATGTTGGTGATTGTCGTCCGCTAATAATTTTCCAAACTTCCTTATGAACACCAATAAACCCTTAAAATTTTCCGAAAAAATCGAATTCTGAAAATTCACCGAATTCTTTTTCGGTCGTTACTTCCGAAATTCCTATCATTTCCGTAGGACCCTATGGAACTTTTCACGACTACGGTTCCTTTGCAAAATGTTTTTGCAATCAATGTGATGGACGTCGTGTTCCGCTTTACACTTGTAAGACTTGTAAGGGCAAAAATTGTAATATTAAATGCCCACCTCATACCAGAAAATGTTCAGAATGTGGCGATGGCGATAACAATTATTCGACTAAACGTATAATTAATCGAAATTATTATTACGATAGTCGGAAATCCCGTTTAAATTCTGAGAATTCTATTTCTTCAATAAATAAATCATCTGATTCCATCAATGGCATGGATTTGAAAGAAAGTTGGGACAATGCTTGGTCGGAATTTCTTGATCAATAAGTGTACATTATTGGACAGACGACAAAAAATAACAGTCAAATTTTTTTTTTGTCGGAATTAATGTCACCCCATG